TACCTGTGTTGTTGTTGTTGTTATGTGCTGTCGAGTCGGCCCTGACTCATAGCAACCCCTCCTTGGGTTGCTGAGGCAGTATCACTATGGAAGTGGATTGCCCAACCTTCCCTCTGAGGAGTAGCATTCATAAGTCAAGAATTGCACCTATATATATAATGGGAGACTTGTTCTATCACATGATTCGTACTTTATATTTGCATACGTACTTGACCTCTATTATTCCTCTTGATAATATTGTGAGGTATTTTTAGGTTAAATTATTTACCCTCACCTGAGCCCTGAATGCAGATCCTCAATTTCTAACCAGTGTGCTATCTAACCAGAAAGCAGAAAGCCTACCTCCCAGCAAACATTATTAAGGGCATATATTTTAGCTTCCTTTACATCTTGTTAAGGAGCTCTGGTGGTGTAGTGCCTAAGGCATTTGACTGCTAACCAGGAGGTTGGTGGTTCAAATCCACCAGCCACTCTGCAGAAGGAAGACTGGGCAATCTACTTCCGTAAAGATTTACTGCCTAAGAAACCCACTGGGGGTCACTATGAGTCAGAATCAACTCGATGGCAGTGAGTTTGGTTTGGGTTTGGCTTAAGCCTTGTTAGAAGGAGAACTGGTAGTGCAATGGTTAAGAGCTTAACTGTTAACTATAAGGTTGACGATTAAGAATACTAGAAAGATGTTTACTTATGTTCTATTGACTATGCTAAAGCATTCAATTGTGTGGCTCATAACAAATTATGGATAACATTGAGAAGAATGGGAATTCCAGAACACTTGACTGTACTCATGAGGAACTTGTACATAGACCAGGAGACTGTCATTTGAACAGTACAAGGGGATACTGCATGGTTTAAAGTCAAGAAGGGAGTGTGTCAGGGTTATATCCTTTCACCATACTTACTCAATTTGTATGCTGAGCAAATAATCCGAGAAGATGGATTATATGAAGAAGAATATGGCATCATGATTGGAGGAAGACTTATATGCAGATGACACAACTTTGCTTACTGAAAATGAGGATGATTCAAAGCACTTACTGATGAAGATTGAAGACTCCAGTCTGTAGTATGGATTATACCTCAATATAAAGAAAACAAAAATCTTCACAACTAGTCCAAGAGAGAGCTTCACGATGAATGGAGAAAATATTGAAGTTGTCAAAGACTTCGTATTACTTGGTTCTACAATCAACACCAATGGAAGCAGCAGTCAAGACATCAGACGACGTTCTGCATTGGGTAAATCTGCTGCCAAAGATCTCTTTCAAGTGCTGAAGAGCAAAGATGTCTCCTTGATGTTTAAGACGCATCTAACCCAAGCCATGGTATTTTCAATCACCTCTTATACATATGAGAGCTGGACAATGAATAAGGAAGACCGAAGAAGAGTTGATGCTTTTGACTTGTGGTGTTGGGGAAGAATGCTAAGAGTACCGTGGACTGCTAAAAGGACTAACGAATTTGTCCTGGAAGAAGTGCAGCCGAATGTTCCTTGGAAGTGAGAATGGCCAGACTTCGCCACACCTACTTTGGTCATGTTGTCAGAAGAGACCATTCCCTGGAGAAGGATATCATACTTAAGAAAGTGGAGGGTCAACCAGAAAAGGGAAGGCCCTCAACGAGATGGATTAACACAGTGGCTGCAACAATGGGCTCAGGTATAGCAAGGATTGTGAAGCTGGCATAGGACTGGGCAGTGTTTTGTTCTGCTGTGCATAGGGGGTTACTATGAGTCAGAGACGACTCCACGGCACCTAACAATAACAAAAGTGGCTCTATGGGAGAAAGACCTGGCAATCTGTTGCAGTAAATAAAGAAACAGCCTGGGAAACCCTGTGTGGCAGTTCTACTCCATTACATTGGGTTGTTATGGGTCAGAATAGACAACACCTAACAAGAAACATTGTTAAAATTCAGAGAAACATGGCCTTTTAGAACTATATGCTTCATTCATCAATTTCTAACTCTATGTCCTTTAATGTGTTTATGAAGTTCTCTATGTGCAAAACTGGACTTCACAATGCAGTGCCTAAGCACTCAGCTGCTAAGTGAAAAGACAGCAGTTCAATTCCACCATCAGAGAAAGATGTGGCAGTCTGCTTCTATAGATTAAATCTTTGGAAACCCTTTGGGCACTTCTACTGTCTTGTAAGGTATGAATCAGAATCAGATCGATAGCAACAGAGCCTTTTTGGTATGTTTTTATGTGCAAAACTAAAGGGGGTCAAGGGGTAACATCTTAAATTTCTGCCAAAGAACTATTCCAATCTCTCCTGACTCGTGGTACCTTCACATGTGTCATAAAACTGCATTTCATAGAGTTTTCAATGGAGCTCTGGTAGCATAGTGCCTAAGGCACTTGACTGCTAAGCAGAAGGCTGGCGGTTCAAACCCACCAGCTACTCCTTGGAAGGAAGGTTGGGCAATCTACTTCCGTAGTGATACTGCCTCGGAAACCCAAGGAGGGGTAGCTATGAGTTGAGTCCGACTCAACGGCACATAACAACAACAACATAATCATACAAAGGAGTCCCTGGATGGTTTCAAACAGTTACATACTCAACTAGTAGCCAAAAGTTTCTTGGTTCGAAACCACTCAGAAATGCTTCAGATGACAGACCTAGTGGTCTGCTTCCGAAAGGTTACGGCCTTGAAAACCCTATGGAACAGTTCTACTCTGCACACATGGGTCACAATGAGTAGAAATCAACTTGGTGGTAACTAAGGACAACAACAATCCTATGTAAGTAGATTGCCTTGTTTTTCTTCTGTGGTGTTGCTGGGTGGATTCGAACTGCCAACCTTTCTGCTAGTAGTTGAGGGAAACTTTAGTGATAGCACCACTTTCAATTTGCATTCCTGCCCAATTATGCTCATCATAGTAAAAATAAAGCTATTTTCTTAATAACGTGAAGCTGTCTCCTTTGTCTGTGAAAAACAAGAGTGAAAATAAAGGTTTAATTACTCCTGGAAGACTTCATTTTCTTTCAGTGTTTTTTACAAGGTGGTACACAGATTATCCAGATCAGAATCACTTGGGTATAAATAGCAGATTTCAAGGTCTCAACATTTACTTGAGTCTTTATCCAGGATTGTCAATGAAATGTTTCAGGGCCTTTTCACCAAAAAATGGTCTTGAGCTAATCGTCCCTTATCTTATGAAGCAACTGATTTTTAACTTAAGTGGTTAATAAAAATTCTGAGTAAGATAATGACTTGTGTTCAACACTTGAAATCCCTCCTCAAGGTTCTCTGTATATTGAGCTTTATACCGTGTACAATTGTTCAACCAGCCAAGAACACACATACCAAAAAAATCAAACTCAATGCCATGGAGTTGGATCCAACTTATAGTGACCCCTCCTGGGGTTTCCGAGGCAGTATCACTATGGAAGTAGATTGCCCAATCTTCCTTCCAAGGAATGACTGGTGGGTTTGAACCTTCTGGTTAGCAATTAAGTGACTTAGGCACTATGGTACCAGAGCTCCCAAGAATACACATAAGTCGTCATCAATTCTACACGTCCCTCTCTCATCCATGATATGACTTTAAATTTTGTAGAAATTATAAACTTTGGCATCTACAGATTTCCCTGATACACCAGGCATTGTAAACAAACAATGAACAAATGTAGTTAATTTTGTACATTTTTTTTTTTTACCTATCTTGATGCTTCAAATTCCCTATTTCATTCTAAAATTTTAAATATCTATGTTTTAATCGTTTTAAAGTACTTGTAGATGTACGTCTGGTGGTCTTTCAGTATTAGGGAAAAAATATAACTTCCACCATCCTAAAATGTTTAACTTAAATTAGGCAGTTTTTGGGTATGGTGCACTGATAATTGCATATCACTTCCTGCTATAATAAAGTGATTGTCATCTTTCTTGAAGAATAAAGGATGGGGCATTTTGCTAAACATTTGCCAGTATCTTTCCTTGTATAATTTTGATCTCACAGGCAGAAAACATTTTTGAAAAACAGAATTAAAGGAATCTTCATCCAAGAACAAAATTCAGATCTGAGGGAGGCAGAGTACTATTTAAAAAACGCCAAATATCCTAGATCCTCCCAATAGAAACCCACTAGTCCATGAATAGTGTTAATATTCCATTTATTAGCATAGTAGAAGAGGTTAAGACTGGCTTTCTTCTAATTAGCTCCAGAGAAAGTGATATACTGGTTTTCCACCTTAGCTTCTTCAGTCCAGTAATATTTGCATATCTCACCTGGGCCTTTCAGTTACAAATCCACCTCCTTAAGGAGCCGTGCGAAAAAGCAAGAACAATCAATAATAAAAAATCCTCCTGGCTATAAATCAGCCACGTGGAGCTGCTGCTGCTGCAGCTGCTGCTGCTGCTGCTGCTGTTGCCACTGCTGCTGCGGCAGCAGTTGCTTAGACTTCCTGGTTTGCTTCCTGCAAGCTTCAACGCGGGGGGCTCACTGGTTGTGAGGAAGGGAGTGCAGCCAGGAGCGAGTCCAACTCCGCCGGAGGGAGCGGCGGGCCAGGGGAGTCTGGAGGTCATAGGCGGTTAAGGACAGAGCTATAGTCCATATTACAATAAAAGTTTGGCAATCTGGCAGCTTTAAGGAGCTGAGCTGTGGGGCAAAGGCTAAGGACCAGACCAGGGAAAAGTGTAAGTTAGTTTATAAGGTAACAGTGAACACCACTGAGAGGGGGTTCGTGAGGACGGTGGTGAAACGAACAGGGGGGACTGCGGATCTGGAAAGAGAGCAGACTGGAGAGAAAGGAAGCTTGGCAGAGAGAGGCGCCCGGGTCGGTCGGCGCTCTGCGGAGGCCGCGTAGGGGAGGGGGCCGCGCGGCGGAGCGCGGTCCAAGCCTGCGGGCCGCAGGGAGGGGGCGGAGGGTAGAGCCCGGGGGAAGGTAGAGCCGAGGGGAGTTCCGGATCTGGAACTGCAAAGGGCAGGCAGCGGAGAGGGCGGCAGCCAAGGCGGTAGGGGTGGGGGAAGGAGGAGGAGGAGGAGGAGAAGAAGAGCCGGAGGAGGGAAAAGGAGGGAGGAGAGAGCTGTGGCGGCGGCGGCTGCGCCGGGGTGTGTGTCTCTCGCCGCCGGAGGAAGATGAGGCTGAAGATTGGGTTCATCTTACGCAGTTTGCTTGTGGTGGCAAGCTTCCTGGGGCTAGTGGTCCTGTGGTCTTCCCTCTCCCCTCGGCCGGACGACCCGAGCCCACTGAGCAGGATGAGGGTGAGTGACCCGCCCGACCCCCTCCGGCAGCGGGGACCTGCAACTTGTTTTGTTTGCGCGCGTGTGTGGCGGGAGTGGGGGGCGGCGAGGTCGGGGCGCAGCGTAGGCGCCGCAGCTCCGCAGGTGGTGCTGGCGCAGCGCGGGCCGATCGGGGGCGCCGAACCCCGCGCACCCCTTCCCTTCTCGCCACTGCCGGCCCGCCCCCTCGCCGCCCTTTCCTCCCGCGCTTCCCAGCCCCGGGCGCGGCTGCCGACACCTGCGCTGCGGCGGCTTGGCCAGCCGCGCTTCGCGCCCTGACTGCCCGGCAGAGCGAAAGAAAAGCCAGGTCGCGGGGACCGCGGCGGCTTAGCGCCCGCCTCCTTTGCGCCGGGACTGCCGCGGCTGCGGCCGGGAGACGCGGAGTTAGTCCAGGCTGCGGCCTGTGGCGCGTGCAGGCCTGAAGGAGACGAGATGCAGCGGGTCCGGTGGACCAGGCCCCTCAGTCCAGTCTTCCCTCCCGTCACCGCTGGCCCGGGGGTGCTGGCAGCCTGGGGCTCGCCCAGCCCCGCCCGCTGGGGAGTGGGAAGGCGACGGCGCCCCGCCTCCGGCTCTTACGAAGAGCACCGCCTCCCCCTCAACTCTAGAGACTATGGGACTGGGTGGGATGTGAAGCTGAGGCCTCACCCTGGACGGCCCTTCCTCTTGCTTCCCTGGACGAGGGGAGGGGCGATTGGTCCGAGAGGGCGCCCCCTCCCTGCTTGTTTCCTCTCAACCGCCTCCCTGCACTGGGGAAACCCTTTCTCCGACGGGGGGGAGGGGGAGCGATACACCTGGGCCCTAGACCTCGGGCTCGGGGCCGAGCTGATCCGGGGTCTCGGAGCCTATTCCTCTTCCCCGGCTGCGGCAGGGCCGCTCGGGCCGGAAAACTAACTTGAGCCGGCCCCCCGCTTCCCCGCTCTGGCTGCCTGCACGCTCAGCGCCTGGGCGCCACGGCGCGGAGCTCCTGGTGACTCCGCCGGGACACATTTGTCTGCCGCCCACAGCGCGAGGGTTAGCTTTGACATTCGTGCTTTTGAGGGTTTAGTCAGACGCCTCTGAACCTTAGTTACCGCGAGCTGCGCGGGCAAAGGGCCGAGGCTACTGCAGCTAAGCTGCTCCCGCAGGTTGGCTGCACGACCTCCGCGACTTAGCCGCCCGGGACTGGCCTCTCCCTGCAGCCCAACTCCCTTTCCCACCTGCGAGCCTGGGGTGCCCCCTAAGTAGTTGTCTGTGGGGGAGGAAAGGGTGTGAAGAATTCAGGGCCATTGACAGGCAGTGGGGATGAGTCGCGCTCTGTAGTAAAGTGACTTCTGCAAAGATTATCTGCATTGGATCTTTGTAATCTCCTTTTGAAACTTTCCTTCCGGAAAGTTAGCATCAGGCAGTTGGGTGAGAACGCTTGTGGTGTCGTCCTTATGAATCAGGATCCTTATGAGGAGATCCCTTGATCAGTTCTTGCCTATATCCTGAACTTAGACTGACACTCAACTTTTTGTTACTTGAAATCTTCACTGCAGTGGAATCCATTTATAATATTTCCTGTGAATGGAACATGAAGTCATGCAAGTTAATGATAAAAAGTACCAAATTTTCCCTTTCAAACTTTTGTTTGCTTCTGACCTTTCTTGGAGTAATAGCGACCCATTTATGATTTTTCTTTCATAATGATTTATTGATGAGGGATAACTATATTGCAATTGAGAATATCTGTTTAAAGTCATCAAATGGCCTTTATATTGAGCCATTAATGTTAGAACTCATTTTCTGGATGAGACATTGAGGAAAAACTGATAAAACTAACCAAGTTCAGAGTGTCCTTCAGTTCAGATGGAGAGTGGGAGAGTCTTTGAGGAAGTGGTGGCACATAGCCCCAATGCCCAACTCTTCTGAAATACCATTTAGGACTCTTGATATATAGCAAGTACTGAGCCATAGTACCCATTTAATACCTTAAAGGTGTTATCTTGATTTTTGATCCGTCTTGATGAAATTTTGTCATTTGCTCCATTGTAATTTCTATCATTAACAAAGACAGAAGCTAGCTTTTTAGGACTTTGAAACATAATTAACAAGAATGCCTATGAAACACTGGAGCTAAACCCTTTTATTAACTTTCCAGACAAATAGTAATCTAAGCAATTTAAGGTACAGCACTGGATAAGAACACAGTGATAAGAACATAAATAAGGGATTATTGCTGCTCTTTAATAAGAATTAGCATACGTGTCTACAGTGTAGTATTGGACGAACATCTCCTTTGTGGCAAGTTCTGATCAAGGTACTCTGATTTTGACCCCTGAATTTCCCTTTCCTTTTGGGGTTCTTATACTTTGATATGACTGCTTCTCTTTTATTGCTAATCCACACATGGGCGTTTTTAAGATCTTTTTGGCCTTAGTTTCCTAGGGCTGCCATAACAAACTACCACAAAATGAGTGATTTTAAAGAACAAATTTATTTTCTCCCAGTTCTGGAGACTAAAAGTCTTCAGCAAACTTGTACTCCTGGATATATCCTGTGCCATTTATTGTCTTGTACTATCTATATTCTGTACACTTATTTTGTTACAACTTGTTCTATCTTTGAGACTATTTGTTAGCTTTATACTTGATCAGCCCTGGAGGGTAGTATTGCAAAGTGCATTACCCAAAATCAAGACAAAAGAAATACATTTTTTTTATCCCTCCCATGTCTGAGTCTCTTGCCCTTTCTCTGAGGTAAATGATGTGAAAAGTGATCTTAATTGTTCCAACCATACTCTTAGTTGTGTGATTTTTTTTTCATTGATTGATTTATTTGACAAATGTTTTCCAGAGCCTGCCATCTGCCAGTCATGATGCTAGTTGCTAGGGGAACACTCCTCACCTCTTGCCTCATGGATCTTGCAGTCTAGTAAGAAAAATAAACTTGAATCAAAACTCTACAAATACATAAATAAAAATCTTGCTATATACTCTGAAGGGAAATGTGAGGATCAAGGAAATGAAGGAGCTGGATCATAAAGTCTTACCTGGGGAAATGACTTTTGAATTGAAATCTGAAGACTTGAAGAAGTATAGTTGTTGATCTGGAGGGAAGCATTTCTGAGAGGCAACAGCATGTGCAAAGGGCCAGGGCAGGAAGTAGCATAGTGAATGGAGGAAATGGAAGACCAGGGTAATTAGAGCATGGAGAATGAGGGGAAAGGTGGATGCGAGGCAGCAAAAGAAAGTATGGGTATTGCAGACCATGTTAAGAGTTAGGTCTTAAGAGCAATGGGAGGCCATTGAAGAATTTTAAATAGGGGAGAAATGTGTTTTGAAAAGATCACTCTGGTTGCAGAAAGTTCAAATTGGTCTAGAGCAACAGCAGATGATAGGAGTCCTTTCAGAGGTTATTATAATAGTTTAGGTGAGACAAGATACTGCTTAGATGTCTCCAAGCAATGGAGATAGAGAAAATTAAACCAGTTCAAAAGCTATTAAAGATGCAAAGGCATCAGTTTAGTGATTGGATGTGGGAGTGAAGGAGAAGGTGACAGGAGGCCTAGGATAATCATTTATTTGTTACATCATTGAAAGTTCTGAAGACAAAATTGACATGTCCTTACGTTGTACTTTATAGTTATGGAAAAACTTATTTTTTAGTCTTTGTCTGCTACATTATTTTAAAGTTAGTATTTACTAAAAACCATCTGTTTGGCACTTGTAAAGTGCAGCAAGTTCCCCTAATTGAGTATTTTCCAGATTGACATCACTTATACCAGGTTTTAGCCCTAAATGAGTGAGTAAGGTTGAATCATAGCCCTCTAAAAATAAAGGTCTGTAATGGAAATGTTGACAGATCTTTAGCTTCAGTTGGTCTAGTCTAACAAATTCAATACTGGTAAGAAGCTCCTTGTAAACTGATGCTTCGCTGCATGTGCAAATGCTTCTTTAGTCAAGCCAGTAATGCCACTTAGGTTCAGGACATCCCTAGGCAGAGAAGTTTTATGTCACAAGTAAGCCAGTATAAGACAGTTTTGAAAGGAATATCACTTAAATGAAGTTGAGTGACTATGAATTGGTTATTGTGTAGCAATCAAGTTGAGCCTTTCCAAAACCATTTTATCTCAGTGATGATTGCTTGTAACATGAAAACTTCTGCCCTTCACCATGCAATTTTATTTCAAATGGAAGCTACATTTGTCCTATGAGAGGTAGAGCTATTCCTTAGTAGCAAAAATATAGTGTCTCAAGAGGTTACTATTCTCTCAGTTCCCTAGACATCATGCCATGGAATTGGTTTTGGTTTTATTTTGCTGTTTCCTTTTCTCCCTATCCCTACCCTCACCAACAATTAAAAAAAAAAAAAAAAAAAATCCACATTACCAAGTCTTAAGACATCTGGGATTTAAAAACCTGAAATTGATGGAAAGTTTTGTGCGCATGTGCATTTTTCTTAAAGAGTAATAAGTTTTCTGGTTTCTTAAAGTGCTTGTAAACCAAAGAAGGCTGGGAACTCCTGATGAGTGCGTGAGCCCTTTGGGGGCAGGATTCATGTTTCCTGCTCATCGAATATCTCCCCTCACTTCCACAGTACTGACCTTACAGAAGGCACATACTGCATTTATGTCAAATAAAGTGAATTGTTGTACATTCATTTTTGTCCCCTCGCCTCAGGTGTGGGCACATTGAATTGTTTGGTGAATACCTAAGAATTGTTGTAGCCATGGATTCTGTGGAGGGTCTAAGTCAGGCCTCAATCCTCTTACCATCCCCCATATTAGAGAATACCTGAGTAAAAGGCCCTGCTCTCAAGGGTTCACATCCTTATTGAAGTAGAAAATGCAACATCAACATGACCTAGGTTCCCTCTTCCTTATTCAACAGAAATACAAAGAAATAACTTGAGAACTGTCACAGGATATGCACTGTTAATAGCCAAATTAGTAGATGGAGAAAATTTATAATAGCCATTTGTGGAGTGCACAATTATTAATAACTAGAGTGGAAATTAATTCA